TGATGGTGGTCTCCTCTAGGTAGGCCAGCACCTTTCCCTTGCAAAAAGAGCTGTAACCTTTCATCTGTAAACTGAATCCCCTCTTTCCACAGACTCACAAGTTCTACAGATTTCTACCAACTCTCATAAATATACCCAGCTAAGGCAACAAGCACCCACCCATTCTATATATCAGTGCATATATTTTTATAGCAAAAGAGACCAGTAAGAAAATAGATTTAAAGTTTCTGCTTATAATATCAAGAAAATGTATTAAAGATATCAGGATAAGCTCAGTAAGAAATATAACATAGGGTAGAACTTACAGAATGTAGGGAAAGTCAGGAAAAGGGAGGAGCACGCACTTAGGTTTGGGGAGAGGAATCACAAAGAACAGATGACCACAGGGCTTTTCTTAGGAGGCTAAATAAACATGGCTGGGATGTTGGTCATGTGGAATTAACTGGGCCTAGGCTCATTTTTGCTTCAAAAATGTCCAGGGTACAAGGGTGCAAGATAATGCCCAGAGGTACAATACTATGAGGTGGCTTATAATCTACCTATGCTCAGGCACGGCAGCCAGGCTGAGACCCTGTGGCACACAGGTACATTTGTGTCCTCCTGACTCGGTCATCCCCAGACCGACTCTGGGGAAGGAGGACAAGGAAGATGGTTACACAGCCCAAAGGAAACAGTCAGTCAGTTGAAAACAAGCAGTGAGGTGAATACAATTTTAAGCAAAGGTTTCTTGCTTTACATTGATTACGTCCTCTGACTTTAGAAGAGTTTGCATTTATTTGTATTTATGCTAACTCAAAAAGAAACTTTAAATTCAGCTAGGCAAATCAAAATAGAAGAAGTGATGTATTTTAAAGGTCCTTATTGGTATGTTTCATTTATTTTTCTACCATCACCACCTAGTGGAGAAAACCTTCACTTCAGAGAGAAGGAACTAGGATTCAGGGGGAAAAAAAAGAAAAAATGGAAGGCCTGCTATGTGGCAGACAGAAAGCAAAATGCTTTCACATTTTAAGTTCATATTCTTACAATGCACTATGAACATTATCATGCCTCTTTGAGATTTAGAAAGTCCAAACAGTAGCTTGAACAAGGTCACGCTACGGCCAACTCAAATCTGGATCCTGGAAGCCTAGGATCAGTTTTACTTCACTGTACATCTAAATAGCTCAGTTCCATGTATACCTGTGACTTTGGGAGAAAAATACATACACATATACACATACACAAGTTTGTCTCTTGCGTTAAGAATTATACCTAGATGTCCGCCCAAGACCTTCATGTGCCCATAGATAGGTCTTCTGGGAGGTGACTGGATAGTGGGGGCTGACAGGTAACTTGCAGGTAAGGAGATGGGGTCTGGCAGCAGGTCATTTGGGGGAGTGGCCTGGAAAAGTACTCCTGTACCTCCCCTCTTTTTTTTTTAATCTTTTCTTTTTTCTTTTTTCCGGTACCGGGAATCGAACTCAGGACCTTGTGCTTGCCAGGCAGGCACTTGTGCCACTGAGCTATATCTCCGGCCCCGTACCACCCTTGTTGGCTCCTCCCTTCACTTCCTGCTTCCTGGCTGCCAGGATCGAAGCAGTTTTCCTCCTCCCTGGGCCTTCCACCATGCTGTTCTGCCTTGGAGTAGCCAACTATGGCCCAAATACAGGCACCAAAATAAACTTATTTAAGATGTGATAACCCAGTGATGAGAAAATGATTAAGACAATCTGTATTTTTCCATATATACATATATATATATATGAAATGGGCAAATCACACATATAAGAAGAACAGGATGGAGCTGAGGGTACAGCATATGAAGGCCCGGGGTTCAATCCCTAGTTCAAGAAAGAAAGGAATGAGGAAGATTGATTATTTTTATATGACAATAAATTCTGTTGAAAACACACATTAGGTAAAAATGAAGACACAGAATACATCTATACATGAGCATACTCATGAAGTACATTTTAAAAGATGAAAAAGGTGTTAAATACTAACAGTGGTTATCCATTAGTAGATTTTCTATAAGCATGTATTTTCAAAAAAGAAATTTTAGACCTTATATATATATATATTAAAATAAAACATTCAAGAAACTTCATTATTTTAAAATTGTTTTGCATCGCTTAAAAACGATCACATTTTAACATGTTTAAACATTTCTGTAAATGTTTAAAATCAGCATAGTATACTACATCTTCAAATTTAGTACCACTTTTCCTCAAAACATGTTTTGAGGACAGCCTTAGAACCAGCATTTGCTTCTGTGATATTCCCGTGACAAGCACTGTAGAGATAAATAAATGTTCATGAACCTCTGTTTTTTCACAACTTCAAATTATACTGTGATCAGAGAAATATTCTTTATTTAACTCTATTTTAGGTTTTCTATTAATCTTTGAGTTTCTGGAAAAACTCAACCATCCAAATATTGTACTTCCCTTCTTGTGCAATCACAGGTTGGGACACATACTTTACAACTAGTAGCAACTGAAAAAAGCATTCTGTGCCCTTTTTTTGCATGTGAAAAGATTTTCCCACCAAAAATACATTTCTTTGGTTTATTTCAACTTGGGTATTCTGAGAAACCTGTGCAGATGCAAAAATGGCTATGACAAACTGTCCTTTTGTTAGGAAGTAGCTTACATCTAGTCCTACTAGTAAACAACAGATGCAGGTACAGCCTTTTTGCTTAAGAAACATCTATCCGCAGGAAGGAATGGGGAAGCTCAGGTTAACACCTGATTTAATGACCACAAGTTGTTATTACTTGAGAGACTCCATCTGAATCACCTGTACACATCTCCCCACAACCCTCAAGAATGGACTACTACCCTTTGAGACAGTTGCCCACCATGGGGACAAAGGGCAGGTGTACACCTAAGACTTAACTCACGATCTCTTACCATTAGAAGTACTCCATATACTCTTTTCTACCCCTCACTCTCCCAAACAATCTTATGGGTCTCAAAACCCAAATGCATCTTTTAAAATGCCTTCAACATAGCACCTCCAAGAATAAACCAGGTAAGAAAATAAAACTCTTGAGGATCACCACAGAGGGACAGAGAACAAACTTCTGGGCCCTTAAAGTGTTATTCACTGAACGTATGATCTATATTTTCTTCTGAAGTCATCAGGGACTTAAAAGCTGCTTTTGTTTAAAATAAAAAAACTGACTGACTTTTCACTTGGGCCTACAGATGTCCAATGATTAACTAAAAACAGGACAAAGCTTGGAATTTCTGCTTTCACTTTTTATCAGTCTCTTTCACCACTTTAAAACTCCCCACTCAGCTCTACAAGTAGGCTGGTTAATCATCTGGGGAGCGGCCTTCTAAAAACTGGTAGTACAGGATTGATTAGCTCTAAATTTACCTATTGTATTTCATCCCCCTTTAAGACGAGACTTGCAGGGACATTCAGCTACCACCGTTTACTCCTGAAACCTGCATGGTAAAGTCATTGCCATAAATCTGCAGTCACCTACCACTCCAGCAGAGCCTGTGTAAAACTGTGATGGCCCCAAACAGAAACAATCATCTCCCGGGAACTAGACTGCTTACCAAGCCACTAGGTCTTCTCTGGAGCTGATCAGCCAGACACTAGCCTCCCTCAGCAATCCCATAAAAACTGGCCTCTTCCCTGTGTTAGTGACCCAGCCTGACTTCTCTGTGGGGGCTGCATCCTTTTCAGCTTTTCTTCTCCTCAAACTGAAATCCCTTCACCATTTTCTCTTACTTTCTGATTAGAGTTTTTGCCTGCAAATTTGTGTGACTGCCCCAGTTTTAATTTCCATTATCACTGAGGCAAGAACCCATGGTAGCCAGTGACACCCTCATCCCTTTAAGTCAGCGATTCTGTTCTTTCGGCCTAATACTCCCACGCCTCCGGTATGTGGCAGAATTTGTATGTTCCTCCTGTTAGCTACTGACAATTTATCCCATAGACTAAAATTATCATACCTCTATCGGAGAGATTTGAGTACATTTAAAACTTCCCTCCAACTTCCGAAAAGATGCTCTTGGGTGGAAGAGAAAAACTTCACTCTCCATCAATTCATTTACTTTTTGATTAGCAAAAAGGCATCTTCAGCATAATATTTTCCCCCCAGCTAGCTGGCAAGCTGAAGCAGGATTTCAAATTTGAGGCCGGCCTGGTCAACATTCCAAGAACGCCCCCTACCAAACATTCCTTTTTATTTTTTACTTATTTCTTTTACCAAGCATTTCTTAAAAGGGGAGAGTTAAAGGCAGAAAATAAAATCCCTGGAAACGGTAATGCAATTAAAGATGCGGAATACCACCCTCATACCGTAATATTTTTTACGCGTTTGTAGTGGGCATTTTACAAGGTTGCCTGTCTCCGTTGTGATGGGGAGAGAATGCTGAAGCTGGTTTCTGCCTGTAGCCGTTAGGAAACAGAGGTGAGACAACCTAAGCGCTGGCTTGGACAGAAAAGAGGATTTGCGGGACTGGGGATTTTTGCCTGGCAAGTGCAAGGTCTTGAGTTCGATTCCCGGTACCGAAAAAAAAAAAGAAAAGAGGGTTTGACCCTTCCCCATTGCTTTCATTACCGACAACCCTCGGTGGCCTACTCGCTCACTCCTACCCACGCGCCGGTTCGGCTCCCCGACTGCGGGGAGCCTGGAAAGCCGCCCTCCCCGCCACAAATTGCTCTTAGGTCTCCCCTCCAGCTTTCAGTGCCTCCAAAGGCCAAAAGGACGCCGTTTCCTGTACAGCTCAAAGGTCCCTTCACAAAAGCCGCTCAAGGAACCGGAAGTGAACAACAGGCGACCGGAGCGAACACACCAGACTACATTTCCCGCCGTACCGCGCGAGAAATGGCCGGCTGCGACTGGAACAGCCGGTCGTGGACTACGCTTCCCGGAGTGCCGCGCGAGACGCGGCTTGCGTCCGAACCAGCGTCCGCAGACTACATTTCCCGAAAGGCTGAGCCAGGTGCTGCCCGGCGCGGGGGCAAACGGTCGCGGACTACATTTCCCGACGCACCCCGCGAGGCGTCGCCCGCGGCCAGCCGAGGGCGTGCCGATGCGGGAGCTCCGGACGTGAGGCATGAGCGGCGCCCTCCCCCGGCCCGCGCGCGTCCTGCCGCCTCCCGGAGCGAGGGTCTCACG